CAAAAGTTAGAGCAGTTAATATCATTTAACATCTCAGATTTTTATTTTTCTTATTGCACTTCATTTGGTGTGAAGTAGGCAGGACTCACTGAGAACAAACTGATATTGCATATTTCTGTGCACCTATTAGGATTTAACACCATTTGAATGTCAGTCAGATCTGATTAACCACACACACAGTCCTGATAATACAGGATTTATACTTCTGCATTGAAACTAATCTACATTGACACAGAGCCAACGCTGTAGTCTGACGTGCACCTCCCCAGAAATTTAACTACACGTCATGGCGACGCAGACCTTCTGTCTGTTTGTAAGCTGAAACCATTTCCCTCAGTGGAAACAAAGCTTTAAATTTCCCTTTAATTTAACAGATTACAAACAATAAATTGTGAAGACAATAAACCCTCCACAAAAATAGCATTTTAAGTCTTGTGTGTGATTTATCCTTCAGGAATTTACACTTTGGGATTAATCCTGGCTTCATATGAGCAGGGGAAAGTCCCTAGGCTAATTTATACAGTGTGAAATGCCATAGGCTTGTGCAAATAACGTTAGCACGTTGTATTTGTTTGGAAAACGTGTTTGGTATAGGACAGTTGTTTTGTCGGTGAATCTTGTGAGTTGTAATGGAGCCAAATATTGTAACGTTACCTTTGTTAAATGTTGCTGTTGTCTCTGGCTTCATATGAAAAGAGGAAAACTCCGCTAGCAGCTGGGCTAATTTATGTAAAATGCCATAGGCTTGTGCTAAAAACACTAGCATGTTGTATTTGTGGGGAAAATGTGTCCAGATAAAGACAAGTGCTTTGTCTGTGAATGTTGCGAGTTATAGTGAAGCTGGTTTGTGTACTTGAGTTTGAAATTGTCGCTATTAAACAGTGTTTACTGTGTGTTTTGGATGTGTTTTCAATCAACTAAACTTTAAAGCACTTCACAGAAACCCTGTGGACAACTACTGTTTTGGAGGTGTAACTGCAGAGTGACACAGACACACCACTGCACAAGTATTAATGCCATATAAATATAGGCGTAAGTGTAGGCTCTGCATCGACCTGATGCAGAAGTATAAATCCCGCTTAAGGCAGATTAGTCAAGAATATTTTAAGGAGTAGTTAGATATTTTGGGAAATACACTTATTAGCTTTCTGGTGGATAATTTGATGTGATGTGTTAGATATTAGGGGTGGGAATCAGCAGAGGCCCCACAATAGGATATTATCATGATACTTGCTTTATTAATATCTGTTTTATGTAATATAAAAGTCTGTCAGTCTCACTTCAATTATTTTATTGCAGCAAAATGTATGGTGTGGCCTGAAAAATCATTTGATTTTATTATTTTAGTAGGCCACCAAAGGTTAAAGTTGTACTTGTAATATTAGTAATTTTTAGCATAAAAAAAAAAACATACTTAGCATCCGTGTATTAATACGATATTGCCACGCAAAAATATCCCACCCCTATTACATATCCATTAAATATTAGGCTACAGCCAGGAGCATCTTAGCTTAGCCGCTTAGCTTAGCTTGGCTCTGTTCAAAGGTAACACAATATGCCTACTAGGGATGTACACAGTGACAGGGCTAACTGTTCGCATCACATGGCTAATGTTACCTAACAGTTATTAACGGGTTTAACGACAGACGGATGCTTTTTCAATTTTGAAGTGAGTTTGTAAACTGTAAACGGCTCTGTGTCGGATGTTAGCTGCTGCTGCTGCTTTATTAGCTCATGATAACCAGTCAGAGGAGAGAGGCTCTAAGATCTTGTAGAGCTGCGTCTAACTTAGCAGAAAGTTTGCAGATGTTTCTTATGTTAACTTTGAATGAATGGTCTAATATAAAGCTGGTTGTTCAGTAACTGAATTTCAAATTGCACTTGTTTTGCTTCAGAAAAAGAAAGGAAAACTTATTGCAAAAGAAAGGCATAAATAATCCAGGTCCAGGCACTCAAGATGGTTTTAAAAATGTAAAAGGCCTTTATTTCAACAGGCTAGAAACATTAAAAATACACCATCAGGTATTGGCTTGTGCCTTCTTCAGGGTGTGAGGAGGTTATTTATGCCTTTTGTTTTTGGTAATAAGTTTTCTTCTCTGTTTTTGAAGCACTGTTGGTTTGAGGGACACCAGCAGCGCTCCTGCTTAGTTTTCATGCACTTGTTTTGCATTGTTGGCCAATTCACATTGCTACTCTGGGGTGGCTCTGGCTCAGAGGTAAGGTGGGTCATCCTATAATTGGAAGATCAGTGCTTCTATCTATCCACAGCTCCTCCAGTCTGCATGTCGAAGTATTGCTGGGCAAGATATTGAGCCCCAACTTGCTCCCAATGGCTGTTTTGTTGGTATGTGATTGTATATTAATGGTGAGGCAGTAGGCACTGTGTATGGTAGTCTCGGCCACCAGTGTATGAATGGGTGAATGTGATATTTAGTGTAGAAAGCACGTTGAGTGGTCGGAAGACTAAAAAGGCACTACACAAGGGCAGGTCCATTTACTGTGTATTCTTACATCAGACTTTTTTTTACTGTGTATAATAATCTATAATAATTTAAAGTGAGTACTGACCATGAAAATGACTTTAAATGCCCATCACTACCACCTTCAGGCATCTCTAAAGCACATTAACACATTATATCTCATCTGATGAATAGATATTAAAATGTAGAAATGCAGATGCTTTACACAGGGTTATGTGTTGTACTATTTCTTAGTTGAGAGCAACTTCCTGGAATCTCTGCATGTAAATCCTTGAAACACTTGATATGAAGCCACATTTTTAATATTTATACAAATGAAGTGTCACATTTTAAATTAATGCACAAACTGAGAGAAAAGGTGTTATGTTCAGCTGTTAATGGAGATAATCCTCAGGGCTCTATGCTAACGTCTTTCCCCAAGGAGTGTATGTGCTCCTAAATGAAAACAATTTAGAGCACAGTTCAAGTAACACAGAGTTTAATAACAAACAATGTATTACATACATATTAATATTGCATGTGCATTTATGTGACCCTTCTTTTTGTGTGCAATTATGATGTAAAAACCAGTGGACTATGGAAGTGAAAGTGTGTAGACCCCAGTGGTGATTGCTGGTCTTTCAAACAGGGGAAGCTCACTTTAAGTTTACATCATAAAATTTGTCATATTGTAGCGAGGCAGTAACTTTTAAAAGGAACATTTAATTGAAGCCCTTTATCAACCACACTCATGCCATAGAACCACAGTAAAACACACCTCAAAGATTTTCAGATGGGTTTACAAACGGTGAAAATGAACTATATGGCTTATGGAAATAAGGAACTCCGGACGGCACTCTGTCAGAAGACTCCACTCGCAAATATCCGCATGGGACTGAGCTCAAAATGCGATGATGTCAGTGTGTATTTCCAAAGCGCTGTCAATCACAAAGGGTTTCAGACTTAGACAGTTCCTCCAATTATCATGCATACACCGAGAATCCTCTCCCACCTACCGCTCCATTAGGTCCCAGGGAAGCTGAGCCTCCCTGGAAATGTCGATTTTGTCACATTTATCCAATGACCGTCTCGCTATGCTGCATGAAAAAAACCTGCTCAGCGCTGTCTCATAGGAAAGCTTGGAGGCTCTGCGTCCACTGTGCTGACATGAGAATGTATGCCAGGGAGGTCGCGTTTGAAAACTGGTGATAAATGGCTGATGTTTGAACATCATAGTCATGATGTTACTGTGTGTATGTGTGTTTACTATTTGTGCACTAGCACATACATGGCATTGTTTTCAACATTTTGCGCCAGTTTGCAATAAATTTATATGTTCTCCCTCCGCTCACTCTAGTGGACATTAAAGTGACCGCGGAGGTCACTGTAGCTTCGCCAACGTTGTTTTCAGCCACCCTGTTGTTACTAGCCACTATGCTAATGCTGACGTTAGCTACCTCAGTTTAAGTAATGTAAAGCCTCATTAATTGACCTTGGGGTTCATTTTTTCAGGATGTCTGTGCTTATAACGTTAACACATAGTCTGTCGTACCACTACTTTTTTTCAGTGTTGTTCACTTTTCTCTTTTCTGTGATTGGTGCATTATGACTTGTGGAATTGTGGGACTTGTAGTTTTATAGGTTGTAATTTTTACTCTCAAACTGTGCTTGTAAATTATTTTTCTGGTTTGCACATATCTACATTTAGGGGCGAATGCAAGTGAAATACGCACATTTTAGAGCCCTGCGCCTGATGAAAAATGAGCCAGTCATGTGACATGTGCTCATTGGGTCAGTTTTATTTACCTCCACACAGACAAATTATAATTAAATATAATTAAGTAGTAGAAGAGATAAACATAATAACCGTCCCAGGCTGCTTATAACAACAAGCTCAAAATAGGAGCTCCAAATTAAAGATAATAACTCCCATGATTCATCACACTGTCTAAAGTGGGCACAGGCCAAGGTTAATTGAGTCCTGCTGTGAGACTAATTATTAACACTTCAGACGATGGGTGCCTTCATGACACTATAGATACCTCCTGTGGTTTGACAAACAGCCAGTACGTACCAGGAACTGGTTAGGTTCACATGATTGGGTTAGGTGATTACGGAGTATATTAGATTTGTCCAACGTGGCCTGAAATGCACCTCAAATGCAACACGAGGACCTGGACACCTGTCTCTTATTATGGAGTTGTTGATGTTTTATAAGACAGCTGAATACTGGACCCTGTGATGCTGCTTGATACATTTGTTTCCTCAAATCTGAAACAAACCGCCAAATTCATATGTGAGAAACCACCTTCTTATTCATCATCTGCACACAGGTACATGATTTAGATTATTCAGTGTCAAGCAGGTGCTGGAATAACAGCTGACGGGAGAATAAAACAATGACTCGGTTCCATGATATCAAATCAAAACAATCCAGATGATTTGCCTGAGTGGGCAGGATGATCTCCGCCTGCTGCTCATTGACAGCCAAAGGTAAAAAGCACTGACCCTGAGCCACAGCCCTCCCTCCCCCCTCCTCACCTGTTTATTCATGAAGACATAGATGACTGGGTTGATGACCGTGCTCGTCTTGGCCAGGATTGAGGGGATGATGCTCGCCACAGGTGTGACCAGGCCGGGCGGCCCGAAGGTGGCCAGCAGGGCCATGATGCCGTACGGCAGCCAGCACAGCAGGTAGCAGATCACCATGATCACAACCATGAATAACACACGCTGCTCACGTTTCCTGCTCATCGACGCGTTGATCCCGCTCACCTGGAGACAGCGAGGAAAAGAGAAAGAGGAGAAGAGGATGAGAAATGAGAAAACACAAGCGGTTTTTGAGTTTTGCTGCTACGAGGCATCTGAATTTCCCTGATGGGAGGGAGAAGTTGTTGGAGGAGGATGAGGAGGAGAGTCTAGGAAATGAAATGCAGGAGTGACAGAATAGAGTGCAGGTCAGACAGGGTGAAGTGAGAGATTGAGAGGTGAATAGAGAGGCAGAGAGAGTGGCACACAGACAGAAGAGCAGGAAGGGGCAATTCATCTCTACATCTACAGAGGGACTCAAATCAGCGTGGAGACAGAAGGCAGGAGAACAAGAAAATGACAGAGAGCACTTTGACATTTCCTGGAAATCAAAAAAGACGGAATAACAACACAAATATTAAGTGGTGCAATACAATAGACGGAAACACACACACTGTTTTCTGACACACACACAGTGTTGTTCTCTCAAATTATTATTATTATAGCTGTGGTTTATTGTAAATTTGTCCATCATTCCCATCTGTAATAAGATTATATTCAACCAGGAAGGCAGTAGATTGAAATTTGTGGACATGTATACATACAGAAGAAGATATCTACTATTTCATGTCTATCTGATAAGTTTAGTGCAGCGACACTTGGCTGCATTTCTATTTGTTGGTAAGTAGATGTAGGTTGTAACAGCTGTCACACTGTGAGATAGTCATCACAAATTTCAGACACTATCAGAATTTTATTCCAGGCTGTCTTTGATCACAAGACTGTGAAGATCCTTGAACCTTTCTCACTGTGTGACTAAGGACCGCTGTTTTAGAGCCACGACCAAAGATATCGCCACGTTTCTTCCATGTTTGTCATCTTTCGTCTGGGACAACCCAAAATCGAGCAGTGTATACCGGACTTAAAGAAGGGTTTAAAGAAGCACAAACGACTCCAAGTGTTCTTTCCCTGAGTGGGGAGTTAAAATGGGTTCAGCCTGATCTTTCTCCAGTGCTGACACAGCACCAGATAGATCTGGCTATGTGAGACTAGTCGGTGGCAAAAACAAGCACTTTTAATGGAAGTACATTATTGGTGCACAATTGTTTGCAGCCCGTTTTGCAACTGCCATTTGTAGCGCTCTCTCCCAATTCTAGACCAGTCTCAAAAACTGTTGTCTCTATTACTCAGTTAGACACAAAAACATAGGAAAATGGACTCCAGGTGGAAAAAAACTGAAGTACAGCCAGTCACCTTCACATGAACAAACTTGCAAACTTACAAACAACTTAACTCTCCACAAACTTGAGGAGTCTCCATGTGTGTCTCTGCCTCATGGCCACATGTCAGCAGCTGTCACTTGACTTCATCGCCATGGAGACACACACCGACAGGAAGCTGCTTTCACAAAAGGCTCCTGCTGTGGCAAGTTCTCTTTTTCCTTTCCTTTTTTTTTGTACAGCAGGTGAAGTGAAGCGATGGTATTCTATGAAAAATATACTGTGTACACTGATGCACACACACAAGTAAATTACTCAGGCAGAAAAACAGCATGACTTAGAACAAAAAAACTCCTGAGGGTCCAGTGATCAGTAGTCATCACTCCCATAACAGCTAATCATGAAGAGCTAGAATTACTGCCTCCATGAACCTGTCACCTTGCAGTTACAGTTTGCATCCGTGTCTGTGAAAACATGAACCAAGATACAATCGGCACAGTTTCAAGATGGACACCCAAGATTATGGTCACTAATTCAGTGTCTGATCATATGCGTCCCCTTCTGTTCTGATTTGTTTTGATGTTGAATAATGGTATAGAAAAGTGTTTGTGTCGAACATTATGATGTCACAGTGAAGTTGAACTTTGACCTTTTGGATATGAAATTTCATCACTTTATCATTTTATCCTATGAGAAATGTGTGTGAATTTTTGTTATGATTAGTGAATAAATTCTTGAGATATGGCCAAAAACATTTTTGTAAGGTCATACTGACCCTGACCTTTGACCTTCAATTAACAAAGTCTAATCAGTTCATCACTGAATCAAAGTGGACGTTTGTGCCAAATCTGAGGAAATTCCCTCAAAGGCTTCTTGAAATTTTGCGTTGACAAGAATTAAAAGGAAGCACGGAACAGTGACCTTGACCTTTGACCACCATCTGATCAGTTCGTGGTTGAGTCCAAATGGAGATACCGTGTTCATGAGAATGCGACAGACGAGGTAATAGTGACCTTGACTTTTCACCTTTGACCAACAAATTCTAATCAGTTCATCCTTGACTCACAGTGAACGTTTGTGCCAGATTTGAAGAGATTCCTTCAAGGTGTTGAGATATCTTGTTTACAAGACTGAGACAGATGCAAGGTCACAGTGACTTTGACCTTTGATCTTTGGTCACTGACGTCATCAAAAAAAATTCTGTCAAGGTGTTCTTGAGATACCATGTTTTTGAGAATGTTACAGATGGTGTCATAATGATCTTGACCTTTCACCTTTGGCCACCAAAATCTAGGCAGTTCATCCTTGACTCAAAGTGAATGTTTGTGCCAAATATGAAAAATAATCCCTCAAGGGATTTTTTGTTTTCGAGATATAACTTTCACAAGAATGAGACAGACAAAGTCACAGGGACCTTGACCTTTGTCTTAATCAGTGTATGAATTCTTGAGCATGGCCAAAAACATGCTTTGTGAGGTCACATTGACCTTGACCTTTGGCCTATGACAACCAAAATTTTAATCTGTTGTTATTTCCCTTAAATTGTTCTTGAGATACTGTGTTTATGAGAATGCGACAGACGAAGTCATGGTGACCCTGACCTTTCACCTTTGACCACTGACATCTAATCAGTACATCCCAGACTTAAGTCCAGGATGTCGAGTGTAGACAAGTGAACGTTTGTGCCATATTTTAAGAAATTCCCTTGAGGTGTTTTGGAGATACCTCATTCACGAGAATGAGAAGCATGCAAGATAACAGTGACCTTGACCTTTGACCATATTCACCAAAATCTTATCAGTTCAAGTGAACATTTTTCTCAAATCTGAAGAAATTCTTCAAATTCTTGAGATATTGTGTTCACGAGAACAGGATGTATGGACAGGTGGGTTGGACCATAGACATATATACATAGACACCACATTGACTGCCGCTGCCTATTGGAGCCGACGTCCTAGCCTGCCGCCATCTTGGATGGGTCTCGCTTCGCCTCCACAGTGCATTCACTTCTGTTGAGGAAGGACTATGCACAAGTAAAATAGAATAACTCACTGAATATTCAACTGATTTTCATGCGGTTTGGTTTGTTACAAACGGCACACATGTAGTTATGATACAGGATGCTTTCGTACATTAAAAATGCGGGATTTCATGCTTTAATACTTTCTGCAGATAGCAACAGCATGTTATTTAGGTCACAACACAGTTCTTTTTTTCACCTCATATATATATATATATATTAGGGATGTAACGATTACCGATATTACGGTAAATTTCGGTTAATTTTTACACGGTAAGAATTACCGTTTATGTTTAAATTAATTGCATTATCGCGGTGGATTATCAGGACATGTAATAACAGTCTCATTCAAGTCTCGCGATGCAGGCGCTGCGTGAATGCGTAGCATGTGTAAACACAAAATGAAAACATGGCGGAAGGTGGTGATAGCGCACTCAGGATGAGGTCTGGGCGTACTTTGGGTTTCTGAAGAATGCTGAGGGACAGCTGGTGGAGGACAACTATCCTGTGTGCAGAACATGCAGAAAGAAAGTTGCTGCGAAGGGTAGCAACGCTACAAATCTGCTGGCTCATCTCCGTGACCATCATCCACAGCTTTACAACCAATGCAAGTTATGCTATGCAAACGTCAGTTATTGTGTGAAGGACTTCGGTTTTACTAAGATTGTCATAATGTGTAACTCTCGACGTATACAGGACATTTGAGCCGTATCTGTCCTCCTAAACGGCGACTAGGTTTTCCGTTTTCGTTTAAGACACTTAGGAGCTAATACTAGCTGATTAGCTAATAGCTGTATTAACAGCTATGTTGCTAACGTTAAGTGTTTAAACCGACGTAACGTAACACTTATTGAGATCAACTATGATTGAATCACTATGATTATGGTGATTGTATGGCGAGCTAGAATCGATATAGACGGCCAGTTATGCTTTCTTGACATAAGCTCAAGGAAACAACGTAAAACGCTGCCGTGTTAACCTTTGACCGAGAGCATGCACTCCTTTTCTCATACAGGTAATCCTCTGACTCACATGCACACTTCTAATGTGTGAATTATTCTGTGTAATGATGACCATTGTCCTTAGGGTTTTTTTGGTTTCTCCTGCACATTTGTGATATCTATTCTATATACTGTATGTCTTTTGTTCTACTCTTGCATTGTTTTGTTTTATATATATTTTTCCTCTCGTGCTAATAAATAAATAATATATAAATTGTTTACATATTTTGCTGACTGTTGAAATGCACCAGACAAATAAGCTTTGCTCCTGTAATGTGTTTACATA